CAGCAGAGCTCATTAACATTTAAAGGAAAATGCTACAAAAACGGCTTGATCTGAAAATAACTGTTTTTGACAGGGTAAAAAAGGTGTTTTTTACACTACCATTGAGAAATTTTAACCAAACTATGATACAGACTTTTCATTAAGACCCTAAAGAATCATATCAACTTGTGGAAAATGGGCATCATATGACCCCTTTAACCCCACCACAGACCTCACTAATTTTCAAACCCTGGCTACGGCCATTGCTGTGAGTTTTGTTTATATTTCAACTTAAACTTATTTATTTTATTTTATTTATTTTTTATTTTTTTGTAAACATTTCATTTGCGGAATGGACATCATTGTCCCCAGGAAAAATGTAAGGCGTTTTTATATTTTTATTGTCACCTAAAAAAATCAGGGTCATGAAAACCTGGAAAAGTCATAGACTTTTCGAGTTTATAATGCGGGAAATCCCCGCAAACATGTATCTAATATAGCATGTAGGTTAGATGTAAATAAACCCACACAGAATATCAGATCGAATCAGTCATATGAAAACAGCATGAGTGATCCAGCGGTACCGCGTCTTCTCTCTTTCACTCTCTCGAAACAGCTTCACATCAGCGCGTCTAGTCTGCACTACAAAAGAGCCGCTGCACGCTGCGATACGACACTTTCGCTCGCGTTTCAGGACAGTTGACAGATTTGTCACTTGCCTAATCGGGCAAGTGTTGCATCATCATAAAACTGTATAATTTGCACATCTTTTTGTCTTTTTAAACCATTCAGTATTTGCGCATTCCAGATACGGTTTTCTGCGCGCTCAGTCACATCCAAAGCATGCGCACATAAAGCTGCCTCACAAACACCTCCTCCACACCAGGCGTCTCCCTGTGGTCCTGTTTATATTCATTTCATTTAAAAGAAGAGAATAAGACTCGGACGATTGAGTGTGTGTGTGTGAGAGAGAGAGCGAGAGCATGGTGGGGGACACACATTATGCTTTGGTCTCTGAAAATTGTTTATTCTTTTTCTTATTTTTAATATTGTCTTTAAAATCAACCAATATCTTTCTCACTTCCCCATAGAGAGAGAGAGAAATAGAGAGAGAAATAGAGAGAGAGAGCATAACACATCCTGTGATGGAATCTCATTTATGACCTGTCACCTGTCGGAATTGTACAAACACCTTATTTCTCCCCCGGAGGTTGCAGGTCAACATCGATATTCCAAATATGCCAATATTCACATCTTGAAATTATTATTAGGGTCAAAGTTTAATGCGACGTGGGTAGTCCACGCGGGGAGGGGGCAAAGGTCATCAGGTTAAAGGTCATCATCAATCATTTTGACATTGTGACTCCCTTATCTACTACTGATGCTACTTCCAGGTTGGCTTACAAACATCCCTACAGCACTCTATTAAAGAAAGAGTAGTGCCATTCCACACATTTTCTGTTTTATCCATCTTCCTTCTACTCAGAAGTTGCTCTAACTTGAGTATTTTCTGATTAAAAAATCAAGAGAAACAAGATATCATCACAAAAAAAAAAAAAACACATCAGAAAAATGTAATTTTCTCTTGGGTGGCCCCTAAAAAATTGTCACATTTTAGTAACTGCTGTAGCAAAATGTTTCATGTTTTCCCCTAAATGCTGTTTTGAAACTTTTCTTCAGGTTCTTTGCTTTTTCTTTTCACGTGAATTGCAGGGAATTTTTATCTGTGTATTTATTGCATAAATGTCCTGTCTCAGTTTACACACTGACAGAACGCTGAGCTCTTAAATGTCCCATCAGCCCCTAGCAGAGCGCAGCGATCATTGTTCTGTTTTTGAGCGGCTGCCAGGTTACCTGACACCTGGAACACAGTGAGAATTAGATTTCTCAGAGACTCTGAAGAGAAATTCACATTAATCCAGAGTTGCAGTCAATGGATGAACACATTCAAGAGGATGTGTCTGTTTTTATTGATTGTGTTGATCAATGATTCTGTGTGTTTGTCAGGTGGGAGTATGATGAGAGCTACTGCGAGGCCGTGAAGAAAATGCCTCCTTACGATGCCGGTCCACGGCTCCTGGATGTTATCGACACAGCCATCTTTGATTACCTTATTGGTAATGCTGATCGCCATCACTATGAGAGTTTCCAGGACGATGGAGGAGCCAGTATGCTCATCCTTCTGGACAATGCCAAAAGGTAGAAAGAAAGAAATCTGGAGATCTAGTCACACACAAGATGATAGACCCAAGTAGTTACAGTTGTGCACATAAGTTTACATACCCCTAGCAGAATATGCAAAATGTTCATAATTTTAACAAAATAAGAGGGATTTTACCAAAATAAGAGGGATCATACAAAACGCATGTTTATATATACTCCACATGACAAAATAATAACTGAATTTATAAAAATGACCCCGTTCAAAAGTTCACATACCCTTGAATATTAATACTCTGTGTCATTTCCTGGATGATCCAGGACTGTTTTTATGTTTTGTGATAGTTGTTCATGAGTCCCTTATTTGTCCTGAAGTTAAACTGCCTGTTGTTCTTCAGTAAAATCCTCCAGCTACTGTGCATTCTTTGGTTTTCCAGCAACTTCTGCATATCTGAACCCTTTCCAGCAGTGACTGTATGATTTTGAGATCCATCTTTTCAAACTGAGGACAATTGAGGGACTCATACATAATTACAAAAGGTGAAAACATTGATTGATGCTCAAGAAGGCAACACGACGCATTAAGAGCTTTTGATTAAAGATCACAATTTTTTCATTTAGTACTGCACTTCAGAAACTACATAAATACATACATGTTTCCCAGAAGACAAAATAAAGACAATTTACCCTGATCATCCAATTCAAAAAGTTTACACCCCTCGGCTCTTAATGCATCGTGTTGCCTTCTAGAGCATCAGTCAATGTTTTCACCTTTTGTAATTGTTATGTATGAGTCCCTCAATTGTCCTCAGTTTGAAAAGATGGATCTCAAAATCATACAGTCACTGCTGGAAAGGGTTCAGATATGCAGAAGATGCTGGAAAACCAAAGAATGCGCAGGAGCTGCTGGAGGATTTTACTGAAGAACAGCAGGCAGTTTAACTGTTCAGGACAAATAAGGGACTTATGAACAACTATCACAAAACATAAAAACAGTCCTGGATCATCCAGGAAATGACACAGAGTATTAATATTCAAGGGTATGTGAACTTTTGAATGGGGTCATTTTTACAAATTCAGTTATTATTTTGTCTTGTGGAGTATATATAAACATCTGTTATGTGAAATAGCTTATCCAAGACAGTACTAAAAAAAAAATAACATGCAATTTTCATGATCCCTCTTATTTTGTGAAAATTATGAACATTTTGCATTTTCTGCTAGGGGTATGTAAACTTATGTGCACAACTGTATATAAATACATAAATCAAATGATTCAATATCATTAAGTACTGGGGCTTCACCAGACCAGATAACATTTGAGAAGTAGTTAACCTATTTAAAAAAAACAAATAGAGAGAGTTGCATATGTGAGATGATTTGAATTTATGTGTTTCTCCTGCAGTTTTGGGAACCCAGCTCTGGACGAGAGGAGTATTCTCGCTCCTCTTTATCAGTGTTGCATGTGAGTACACAAATAAACACAATGATCATTGACTTCCTCTTACAACCCCCTTTGAGTTCCTAAAAATGGCAGTCCCTGAATTCTGGCATACTTCATCTGCTGGCTGTGGTGATGAATGCTTCCCGCTCTGTTCTTTGAAAATAAACAGGTCTGTCCTCTGACATGCTGTTGACCTTCAATTAGACAACAAGCTTTTGAGTGGGTTTGCCTCGATGAGTGTGAGTCAAGGTTTCTACTGAAACATGTAAATGTGGATAGTTCACATGTAACATTTATTTATTTAATTAATTTTAAATCAAGTTTTTAGGTTAAAACTTGACACAGTGCTGTGCTGCAGACTTCTGTAAATAGATAGGAAAGTATTGCAGGGTTTTTTTCCTCAAATATAAATGTGCTTTGTTTCCATTTCCTATATACATGATTTCCGAGGTCACCTTGAGCAGCATTTACCTTTAAAAAAAATCAAGCAACCAGTACTATATTTATATTGTAATAAATTGGACATTTTACTACATAAAACCAGTCACAAATTGATTTTAGGCATTTTTACATTGCTTCAAAAAGAATATACTGTATACAGTGCTGTTTAAATCTTTAATCACCTTTTTAAAGGGGTCATATGATGTTGCTAAAAAGAACATTATTTGGTGTATTTGGTGTAATAAAATGTGTTTATGCAGGAAATGACAAACTACAAACGCTACTCTACACTGCTCAAAACTCGCGTTTGAATCGTCAGTGGCAAATTCTTTGAATATAAAAACGTACTTCCAGTCTGTGAGTCAGAACAGCCGGCATTAACACTTCAAAGAGAAAGGAAAAATTGAAATTGCATCATATGACCCCATTTAAGTGGTCCTGATGTGTGACATTAAATTTGAAAAGTACAGACATTCTGGGAAATTAGTATTTCTGTGGGGATATTCAATATTTGTTTCGCCCCTAGAGTGCTTTAGGTCTCCACATAGCTCATTATCTCCTTAATGAGATATTGATTGACTAACAGATGAAAAGCCTTTTGCAGCTTTAACTGTACGTGTGCATTCAAGACTTCCTGCCTGAATATCCGAATTAAAGGCCGCTCACACTGACAGTGATTACAAGCAACAAATCAATCGGAAGTCATTCATTTTCAATCAGAGGTGGCGATTTGAGGTGTCTGTGAAATGATGTGACAAAGTTGAGCAGAGTTCAACATTATGCAAATGTGCATCAAGCATCTGTGGTTTAGTTGCTTCCTGTCATTTCATTTTTGCTCTTGAATGAGCCAGACAAATGATTTGATTCGTTATTTCTGTCTCTTTCTCATTATATCCAAAAGGGTCCGTGTTTCCACCTGGAACAGACTAAACCTGCTGAAAGGTGGAGTGTTGAGTTCAGCGATGCGACAGGCCACGGCCCACGATCCTGTGTTTCCGGTGCTGACGGGGCCACATCTCACCGCGCTCGACCGCCGTCTCAACGGAGTGCTGGCCACCGTGCGGCAGTGCATGGAGACGCAGGGCGCCGACAACACGCTGATCGAGGACCGCATGAACCTGCCTCATCCTTAAACACGGGAAGTAAAAAGGTGTTTGACTCTTAATGCACAGGGTCCTTTCACCTTCCTGCTATGGAGCCAGAGAACCGGAGGCCACAAGAAGCCTTAAGAGCCAACCTGGTGGAGTTTGTTTGTCACTGGATTCATTCGAGTCAGACCACAGAGGCCAAGAAGACTCTCCATACTGTTTTTTTCTTGCTCTCTGGGTGGAGTGAGGATGCTTTGACATGTAGGTGGTGTAAACTTCACCTGTTTCCAGTTATTGTTTTTCTTCCTGGTTCACTCTGTCTTTTCTCTTTTGCCACTTAAGCCTGTTTGCAGGAAGATGGATGAACAGTTTTTCAGAGTTACAAATATGGAACTTGGAATGAGATCTTTGGAGTAATTAGACTCAGGAAGCTGGAAAGTGACCAAGATGGATCCAGAAGACTATTAACAGACCTTTGGAGAAGATCTCTCACATTGTACATACAGAACAAGCTTTTGAATAATACTGAGTAATAATATTATTGATCTAAAGATAAAATGAATTATGATAGACTCACTTTGTTCTGTATCCAGGATGAATACAGTGTTGAACAGAGCTGGGCGGCTGTTGCTACTGATGTTCAGAGAAGATGATTCAGACGACAGCATTCTAAGATTGCTGTGAGACATTTTCAACATTAAAAATTAATATTCAAACTTACAGAAGTTTGCTTTTGTCTTGGCTACACACAATGTAGAATACACACAAAATCTGTCCAAATGTGGGGCTTGGCCAGTATTCATGTAAACATAGTTGATTTTGTCTTAATTGAACGTGAACAGTTGGAAAAAAATTGGATGTGCATTAGTATATTGGACCCGGGAAGTGACGGCAGCCTAATAAACCTGCAGCTGTCTGTGTTAATGTTAATGTATCAAACAAAAACAGAAAAAGAGAAGAATCACTCACTGCTCTTGACTGAATGACTTTGGTAGCTTTAAAGCAGGGGTGTCCAAACCTGTTCTTGGAGGTCCACTGTCCTGCAGAGTTTAGCTCCAACCCTTATTAAACACACCTGAACCAAAGTAATCAAGGTCTTCAGACTCACTAGAAACTTCTAGGCAAGTGTGTTGGAGCTAAACTGTGCAGGACACTGGCCCTCCAGGAGCAGGATAAGTCCACCCAAGATCTAAATGTTTTTTCTTTTTTTTTACATCAGAAACTCACTGGAGAAATGTAGCATTACATCACTTGCTCACCAAAAAGTGCTGTATTCCACTGTATTGCATAGATGGGTATAACATATAACTGAATAAGCCAAAAACAAATCTTCATGATCACACACACACACACACCTGTTTACTTTAAACACACAAAATTTTACTGTTTGCATTTGTAGTGCAACCCTCTTTCCTTTGCTCAAGTATGCAAACCTCTTTGCCACGTGCACTGGAATATGTATTACATTGAAAGTTACATTTTCGAATGAAAATGTCAACATGATTGTTTTCTTTTGTCTTGGCTACACACAATGTAGAATACACACAAAATCTGTCCAAATGTGGGGCTTGGCCAGTATTCATGTAAACATAGTTGATTTTGTCTTAATTGAACGTGAACAGTTGGAAAAAAATTGGATGTGCATTAGTATATTGGACCCGGGAAGTGACGGCAGCCTAATAAACCTGCAGCTGTCTGTGTTAATGTTAATGTATCAAACAAAAACAGAAAAAGAGAAGAATCACTCACTGCTCTTGACTGAATGACTTTGGTAGCTTTAAAGCAGGGGTGTCCAAACCTGTTCTTGGAGGTCCACTGTCCTGCAGAGTTTAGCTCCAACCCTTATTAAACACACCTGAACCAAAGTAATCAAGGTCTTCAGACTCACTAGAAACTTCTAGGCAAGTGTGTTGGAGCTAAACTGTGCAGGACACTGGCCCTCCAGGAGCAGGATAAGTCCACCCAAGATCTAAATGTTTTTTCTTTTTTTTTACATCAGAAACTCACTGGAGAAATGTAGCATTACATCACTTGCTCACCAATGGATCATCTGCAGTGAATGGGTGCCGTCAGAATGAGAGTCCAAACAGCTGATAAAAACATCATAATAATCCACAAGTAATCCACACGACTCCAGTCCATCAGTTAATGTATTGTGAAGTGAAAAGCTGTGTGTTTGTAAGAAACAAATCCATCAGTAAGACATTTTTAAATAAAAATACATATAGAAAGTCACAGTGTCTTAAACAAATGCAAAACACCAAGGTAACACACAACACTAAAATAAGCAATAAACATTGATTTACCAGCATCAGATGTAACATAAAACCCTAATGTACAAAACTGATCAAAACAAAAAAAACATGAAAAGTGAAACATCACCCAGAGAATTCCGGGAATGTCAATTTACATTTTTGATGGCAAATTATAAGATGACATGTTCTGTTTACTTACAAAAACTGTTAATTCAACAGTATTTTACTGTAAAATTACATTGTGAAATGAACACAATATATTTTATTTTGAAGCAGTCAGCTCCCCTCAGAAACCCATTCATTTAAAACCCCCAAATCAATACTTAGGATTTTCATCCAATATTTGCGCATCTCGAACAGTGAGTGATCTGCCTGTAGTGTACAGTATTTTCTCCTCTTTACATCCGTCTTCAGCGTCTCTGGACTCTGTGAACGGCCGTTTACACACTTCATATTTATTTCGTTATTTATTACTTAATTTTCATGCCTACTGGCCAATCCGTCCACCTTGTCTTTGGCTGAACCTTCGACCCAACATAAGACAGGCGGTTTAATATGACCAAAAAATATGACAAAATTAATTTGGTCACTTTGGGGTTGTCAAAGTTCAAATTTATTTGTATAATGCTTTTCACAATACATTGTTTCAAATCAGCTTTACAGAACATTTTTATTTCAATGTTATGGGATCATTTTAAAATTTAAAGGGATAGTTCAGCCAACTACATTTACTCGTGCTCATGTCCTTCCAAACAGTGTAAAAAACTGAAAAGTGAAGTTGTTTGTGAGAACCTGTGTGGTTTAATACTTTGTTATTAATGGAATGCAGGGGCAGTATGCGTTCATATGTGCTTCATTTTCACTGGAGGAAACAGCTGGTGTGATGAGGGGTGAACGCAGGGAAAACTTGACAGTAGATATGGAACCGATCGCTCCCCCCATGATATTTTTTAAACTGTATGAGAAATAAATGCTATAGCCCCCCTAAAAATGGCCTAGCAACGCCCATGATGGAATGTAATTTGTTGTGCGTCGTCTAAATGTCCAAATATGTTTTTGGGGCCACTGTATCACCAGCATCATCTCTCTCAGTTGGTTTACTGGAAACTTTTGGTATAAAGTGCAAAAGTAGACTCATGTTTCGTGATGTGCATATCATTAATCATTTCATATCGTCACTGACTAACAGTGAAACCATCGAGAGTTTTGATTGAAAGGTTTTTGGATATTCCTGATGAGCGAGCATGTCACTTCATTGTTATAAAAACTCCTCTCTGCCATCTAACCTCATTATCAGATTTGTGTTTGTTTGTTTGTTGGCGAACGCTGTCCTTTAGCTTGGCGATGGGATTTCCAGCGTGCCTGTGATGGTGCGCACGTGTGGCTAGCGTACTTATTGCAATCGCTGCAGTCAATCTTATCTCTACCTCCAGTCACCTTTGAACTTGACTTGCTGTCCTAAATATGTGACACCTCAAACATGCTTGCTCATCTGAGGTTGTCGGGCTTGACCACCCACCACTCTGTGGGTTGTGGGAAGGGGGCTTCGCCTGAGATAACGGCTGATATTGACTAATGAGGTCATTCTTTTAGTATAGGTGGAGACGTACACACTGAATGGGGAAAGCCCGGGGGTCTGCTGAGAGCCCACTGATGGGAAGTTATCGCAGAACACAATACATTTCAGCGCAATAAAAACGTCACCCACAGGAAAGAGAAAACTGATAACAGGCAGCCGTTAAAAACACGCTACCTAATGACAAAATCAAATGTGAATGCAGACTTTTTAAATAATAATTATCTTGGAATATTTCATATAATATCATGGATATTTCAAATAACTTCAATATATTTGTAACAATTATCAATTATTTTTTACTTACATTTGATAAATATTTAAAACAACATTGGTTTGTATATTTTTAATAATAATGCAGAATACCTTTGGAACAATTAATTCATATTTGTTTTTTATTTTATAATAATTTTTGATAGTTATTAGTGAAATATTTTGAATAAATATTTGAATATTTTGAAATGTGATTTTTTTAACGTTTTAATAATTGGTTTTGTTTTGTTTGAAGTAATTAATGATTATTTATAATTATTTAAAAGAATAAAAATGTTTGATATTTGGATAAATGTAGTGTTTTTTTATTTTCAATCAATTATTTTTGAAATGTTTAAAATTTGATATTTTAAAATGTATATTTTAAAATAATTAATGATATTTCTTTTTAAAATAATCATTGTAAAAAATATTTTTAATGTCAAATTTGTGAATAATTATTTTTAAATATTAAAGAAATGAATAATTTTGAATTATTTTTGAATATTTTAATAATAATTAACGTTTATTTATATATTATATTCATATTTAAATATTTTATTAAGTAATCAATGATTACTTATAAATATTTAAAATAACTTTTTTTTATATTTGAATAAATGTAGTTTATTTATTATTTTATTATTTTCAATAATTTATTTTTGATTTGTTTAAAATATTGAATATTTTGAAATTATTTTTATTTTTTTATATTTTATATTTTATAATTTAAATATTTAATGATAATTTCTTCATAATTATGTTTCAAATATTTTGAAATAGTTAGTAGATTGTTTTAAATAAGATTTAGAATTTTGAATGATTATTTAAAAATATATAAAATCATATATTTTTGGAAAAATATTTGTTTAATTTTTTGTTAATGTTATTTTTATTTTAAATGTATTATTTTCTTATTATTATAGTCTCATATATATATATATGCTGTATACACACACACACATACTTAACTAACTGAATCATGAAAAAAAATAAGTGAAACCATTCGTCATTTCATCAGTGTTTACTGATACTGATGTGAATCAGGTCATTAAAAGTGGGATGTGGGACAGGTGTATGCCCACTACAGCCTGGCAGAAAAGATCAAGCTTTGATATGACATCTGTCTCGCTTGTGGCCATGTAACAAAAGGTTGTGGGGCAGAAGTGAGTGAATGTGTCTAAAAGTTCATTAGCGCAACCATTTTATCTATTTAACGAGATAAAGTGAGTGATTATAATGAAGAGAATGTTTAGGAGACAGCCTAAGAAATGTTTCACAGCTCTCCCTTCAGCTGCTTATTCCCAGAAGTGTGCTTATTACAGTAAGGATAGCTGAAGCTAAGGAATCAAGTTCAAATTTAGAGCATTTGAGTCATGCAAGTCTCCCTTCAGAAGCAAACATGTTTATTCTACCCTGAAACTATAGAATCCAGACCAGCACTTTAGCGGGTCTAAAAGGTCATGCTTTCAATTAAAAAAAAAAAAGCTTTTGATGAGAAAGTCAATTATTAGTTGTGGGAAAACCCCCTACTGAGCCTCTACAGCATTGAATATGAAAAAAAGAAATGGCAATCTCATTCTGCGGTGGTTGTTTTTTGTGTTGTTTTTTTTACTTGCACTCTCTGCAGCTGGTCTGTAATCAGACTAACTGCTCATGATTCATGGCTGAAACAAAAATGGAGAGTCTGTGCAGACAGTTTAATATTTACAACAGCTATGTGTTTAACTGGTATTAACAACTGTACTTTTATATTTATTTGAATATATTTTAGTGATAAGCTCATCTAAAGCAAAAAGCCATCAGACCTTGAACAGTTCAATGGTAACATATCGGCTATCAGCTGATATTTGAGATGTACAGTGGGTATAGAAAAGAATCACCCCCCTTTAATCACATTTTGTTGCTTTGCAGTCTGAAATGAAGACGGAAACATTTTTTGTTTTATCCAGCTGTATTTACATCCAAGTGAAAGATATAACACCAACATGTCAGTAAAAAAAAACAGAATCACTGAGTTGGAAAAAGAATCTCCCCCTTGTGTCAGTATTTTGTTGAACCACCTTTTGCTTTAATTACAGCCTTTAGTCTGTTGGGATATGTCTCTGTCTCTACTAACTTTGCACGTCTAGACTTTGCGGTGAGCGTTTGTGGACTGCAGTCTTCAAGTCA